TGGAAGAGCAGGATTTTGTCCTATTACTTTTATTCTACTAAGTGAATAGTTTTTTGGTCCTTTGAGCAGCTTTGTACTTTCTTTGAATGCAGGTACAGCACTTGTGTTAAGGTGCAAATTTGTTTGAGTCTTGTGTATTTGTCCCTGAAGTGTGAGCCTTGGATAATGTAGGTGCAAAGAAAGGATTGAATAAGTGGTGGAGATGCTTTTCAGTTTGACTTAATTTGTACTAATCGAGGGCCATATTTTGACATCAGAAGTTACATTTGAACAACATAAGTAGTCTCTGTGACTAAGTGCTGCTTCTTTTTTTTTTTTTTTTTTCCCAAAAGTTAAGACTAAACATGAACAATACACACATACCTTTCCTTTGCAAACTGTTAAAGCAAAAGCATTATATGTATGAGCTCTGTGGCTGTAGCAGTTTTGACAGGTGTACTTATAAGCAGTATTCTATTTCCATGCATTGGGTTCCTTACAAGAAACAAAACTAACTCTTTCTTTCCCATGTCAGAATGATACTACTGGTGATACAGGTCACAAGTTTGTAAATATCAGGATTGTTTGGAAACTTATCTGTCCCCCATACTTAAGTTTAAGCTGCTTGATGCCCAGCTAACAGAACAGTAACTAAGGAGGCTGTATCCTCTGCCTCTATCCCCAGTGGCCACAGATAGGGTAGCAACCTCTCCTCAGCGAGCTAGTCCTGACCAGCTGCCTCTGTGAGACGCTTCTTGTCCTCAGGTGTTTCGGAGCTTAGAGCTGATGGACAGTTTCCATTAAATAGAGCAGTGCAGAAAGCAACACAATTCTGTAGGTAGCAGGAGTTTTGGTGAGGCTGGGTGTTGTAGAGGGTTGCTGTCACTGCTGGTAAAGGAACCACGTTATTTAGAAAGATATTTTCTGGTTCTTCTGTAATGATGCATTTTGCAAGTGGAAGAAAGCGCTGGTTTTGTGACTGAGCAACGTTCATCCTTACATTGTGGAAGGAGTTAAAATGCTGATCTGGGAAAATGCAGCCTAGAGAATACGAAGTGGGGCATTTCACAAAGTAGCCAGCCCTGCAGACCCTGGTCACAGAAGCTCTCCCTGCTTCTGCAAGTGATTGTGCTGCCTGTGAGATGCTGCAGTTCGTACAGGTGTTTCTGCAGCAGGAGGTGCTTTGTGCTGTGCCTCTACATGTTTCTGTGCCTCCCAAGTGTCTGGCTCAGACTGTGCCAAACGCAGCATGAGCCAGAACCCCGAGCCTTATTTATATGCACTCAGACTCTCCAGCTCTGAGCTCAACTCTTGTCAGGGCTGATAAGAGGAGCCAGTGAGGTTTGCAGCTTCTCCTTGGGCTGGGCAATACTGCTAACCTGATTGGCATTGTGTTAGAAACTGATTTCCTGGTAAGGGAGTCCTTTGAGTCCTTTCAGAGAGGTACCTCAAGTCACTAAATTGTTAGAATACCGCAGCTACTGCATGTGCATTTTATCCCATCTTTGAAGAGAATTTAGCAGTGGATTTCTCCTTCATGGTCTTCCTCTGATCAGCTCCTGGCCTGGCCTTGATGACCCACTTGTGAGTACTGTAGAGGCCTTGCTCTGTGATGCTCCAAGAGTTCACCAGAGCATCCTTCGTGCTTGTTGTGCAACAAAGCCACAGCAGCTTCCTGGCCTCTGGGACCCTGTGTCCCTGCAGATAGAAAGGCAGTATTTGCCTCAGTGGCTGTTATTTAATATTTTCTTATGTTAGGAACAATTGTTTAGCAGATTATGAGCTGTCTCCAAGCAGCACGTTGTCAGGGATGTCAATGCAATTGAATGTAAATGATAGCAATGAGAACAGCCCTTCTACCTCCGGGTTATCTGTCAGAATAAACTATGCAGGGGAGTTGTAAGTGGGAGTCCTTGTTTTACGCTGTGTCTTGCCAGCATTTGCAGAGGCAAAACACCATTGTCTGAGGAGAAATGCAGGCATGCTCTCCACGTAGGCACAGAACCACCTTTGTATCACTGTTTTGTCTACAGAGAGATCTGGGAAGATGAGTGAGTAACTGGAAAGAAATTCCTATTCGTCTCTGAGACCCCTTCTTTACTGTGTGGTGTGAGGGCAGAATCTGTCCCTTCCACGCGCTGTGTGGACGCTGGGGCCTGTGAGGCCACAGTGAACTAAGGAAAAAGAAATGGGTACATGAGGCTGGGAAACCACTAGTACAGATTGTCACCCTCACAACAGTGTCAGGAACGAGGAATTGGTCACCCTGAGCCTGGTATCTTCCCAAGGAAGGCAGGCACAGAGTGGTGGCTTGGAAACCTCTTCCCTGACCTAGCGGTTTAGGTGCTGCTGTGCTCCAGCTTCTCTTGGCGGCCTGGCTGCTGTGCTCACAGGGCAAATGGCTTCTCTGTAGGCTTCCAGCACATGGGGAGCTCTGGAGCGCTGGTCCTGCTTCAGTATTTACTTTGTGTGTTTGTGTCAAAGCTATGTAAGACCTGGACCACAGACAGTGGGTCAAGGTACATGAAGTGGAAACTTGCTAGAAGTGAGACACTTAGTGAACAGTCAAATCCTCAAAGCATCTGACTTGCTCCTTGAATTGATAAGTGCACACGTTTCTGCTGTTGAAGCTTGATAGTTACATAAAGGTCTCTCAATGTGGTTGTAACTCTCATCTAAACCCAACCTGGATTCTTAGATGAAGCAGTCTACTCCCACCTCCCTGGAAAGGCTCACCCAATATAGGCTAACAGGATTGCCTCATATGGATGCATAAAATACAGCAATCAAGCCACACTGACTTAAAAATTCATGTGGTGAGGATGTTAGCATACCTTCTCTTCAGCAGCTTGATGGTTATGGAGGCTGAGCTTTCACTTCCCTCAGGTAGCCCCACATCTCCTAGGAGAACACCCAAACTGCTAGGCTTTCAGGAGGGAGGGAAATGTATGCATGTTCTCTAAGCATCCTTTGGAAACTCTGGTGGTCCAAAAAATCAGGCTTCATTGGCCAAAAGGTAGGCGAGTGAGAATGTGATTCTTTAGCTCCTGCTGTAGTAGCAGAGAATCTTGGGTGTTATCCATGAGAGCTGGCTTTACATAAAATCTGCAAGAAGTGGTCTTACGTTAAAATATTTGGCATCATAAGAACTACAAGAGGGAAAAAACCTCAATCTTAAAATATGATAGCTGGGCGCCTAGGATCTAGGCTGTAGCAGTCTTGGCTTTCAGTGCTTAAATCTCCATGTGGACTTAGTGCCTTGCTTTTACCTGTAGAAAGGGGATATGAGCACTGTCCTACCTCATGGGCTCTCTGGTAAAAGTAGGATCTGCATGGTAATGGCCAGCAGAAAAGTATGCTATATAGCGTTTCATAAAAAAACCAAAACACACCAACAACTGTGCTTATTTATCTAAAGACAGTGTTGAGATCTAAGTGTGCAAGGAAGGTCTTTGCCTCAGTTCATAGAAACTCTTCAAGGAGCTCTTGAAGAAGGGGAGAGAAAGGTAAATTACCTTTTGAGAAGGAGATGGTGAGGACTGAATGCGTGAAATAATCAACACCATTCAGATCAGGGCAGAACACAACCTAAGATTTATATTTGCATATTTTTTTGTACTTCCTGATGAAAATGTAAAAATATCCTAACAGTGCAGTGCAGTGTTTATAATAGACACTCAAAAGCACTTGCTTTAGCAATGAGAAATGACTTGGCTTACTTATTCGTAGGAAGGGGTAAAAGACATGTATTGTTTCTGGAACAAAGTACTTCAACCAAGCAAAAACCATGGTATTTAGAAGAGGCTGTGAGAAACAAAGCAGTTAAAATGTCCTGAAGTTATACTACTGGTATATTTCACTCTAAAGAGTGTATAAAGATACACTTAATCTTGCTCATGGGATTGGGCAATGGATTTAGATAGCAACAGGAATGTTTTATTTAAACCCGCTTGAAGTTTGCAACAGGACAAAAATTTTTGCAAGAGGAAGTTAAAATAAACAAAACTCTTTGCAATTAATAGGTAAGAAGTCTTGTTTGTGTCTCTCAGTTGCAGGAACCATTGATGACAGCTATGTATATCTGAGCAGCTGGGGGCAGATCCTCAAAAGCAGATAGCATAGTGGACACCCTTAGAGACTCCTCTTTGATATGAATGCCTTGAATCTCACGTGGCTGCCTATGCCTGCTGTCAAAAAGCTGGGGGGTCTCTGCAGCTGTGAGAGGAGCCGCCATCTCCTGCTCCTCCTGCATGTCAGTGCCCAGACACCAATGCTGCTGTCTGTCTTGGCACAGGTGTAGATAGTTGGTGTAGGTGCAGATGTAGCCAGTGCAGCAGAGAAGCAAGGTCTGGGCCTAGGATTGAATATATTCATTGTTTGAGTGGAGTATTAATCATAGAAAAGTAGCATTCAAAGAGCCAGTGAGAACGAAGGTTTGAATCCTGCTCTTTTTTTTTTTTTTTTTCTCCTTACTGGCTGAAACTCATTCTAGCTTGTACAGTGAACAGAAAGGTCTTTCTGCTGTTGTAAGTATGGAGCCTAGCTGTCTGGTGTCTAGTTTGGGGTGCTGTGCTGTACACATCATACAGGGAGTATTTGAGCTTGTGTGGCCAGGAGTGAAGGTTGTATATGCTCAAATGAGAAATACCTCTTGTACTGTTTTGGCTGTGAAGAGGCCTCTCATTCAAACTCAAGTGTCATGGTGGATCAGTACATGTGGCACAGGGGGAGCCAGTTTGATGAATCTGCCCTTAGTCAAGGAATGACTTTTACCTGCTTAACATCATGTGTTTCATTTGCATAAAATCAGCCTCTTTGTCTGTGCATGAGTAATTAATATTTTCTTAAAATAAAAATTGATTTAAAGCAAGGAATAATCCTGTTGACTATATTCAGAATAGTATCTGGGAAAAAAAAACATGCAGGAACGGAAGCAATGAGGTTGGGATCCCAAAATGAGTCTTTCTACTGATACAACCCTAGCCTTGTCTAATGTCTAACTGATGTGTTCTTTCAAACAGATACTAATTTTGTCTTGGGTAATGCCCAGATAGTGGATTGGCCCATTGTGTACAGCAACGATGGATTTTGCAAGCTATCAGGATATCACAGAGCAGAAGTTATGCAAAAAAGCAGCACCTGCAGGTATTTGGGAACAGATTTATTTTCTGTTAAATAGCTTGTAGTGTTGTGCTTCTTGCTTGAGGAAAACAGTAATCTGTTTATCCCTATTCTGTCTTTTATCTCCTGGGGCTGCATCTGTCAAATATGCTTTTCAGGTGAAACAAAATCAAAGAAGGGCTATTTCTAAATAGGTTCTTTTCACACTGTAAACAAATGGCTTCGTGTCTTTGTCTTGTATCTGACTTGAATTCCTTGCTTTATTTGCAGTTTTATGTATGGAGAGCTGACAGACAAAGATACAATTGACAAGGTCCGACAAACATTTGAGAACTATGAGATGAACTCCTTTGAAATCCTGATGTACAAGAAGAACAGTAAGTAGTTGATTGGTTTGTTTGTTAATGTAGGTGTCAAAAATTGTTTTAAATCGTAACATGAGCTACAAGTCTGCCAGCCCATAGTACTGTGTTTTATGTAGGGCTACATAAACCCTCTGTTCTGCCAGTTGATCTACAAGGGAGAAATGAGAACATTAGGGATGAAAGTCACTCATGGAGGCAGAGGAAGCTCTAATTTGTTCTGACCTTTAGAGCAATTCGTGTGTGATGATGACACTCAAGATTTCATTAGCAATGTTAACGTCCAAGCTAGGTTTATGCGAACGATTATTCTTACAGAGAAGGTACTTTTAATTTTTTTCTCAATTTTGATTTAGCAAAACCAGTGTTTAGATGTGGCTTCATAATAAAGGATGCCATATTTTGTTTTAAGAAGCTGAACCACTTCCTTTTGATGCCTTGTGATGAAACTGTCTTTGCTTTGGATAAAACTACTCCTTAACTGTAGCATGATTTTTTTTCTAGGAATTTTAGTGTGTCTGTAACTCTACTTGTCAGCAGATGAACTATTTGCCCCAAATTTGTTCCACCACCCCATGACTATGGCATTACAGTTATTTTCATCTACCCAATATGACCTGAAGTGCAAATTCAGTGGCATCTTCAGGCTGGCCAAATGTCAAGCTAGAAGGCTGTGTTCTGTTACTTTCATTTCGCTCTTAACAATTTTTTTTTCTAACCATGAAACTGGTAGTGTCTGTGTACAAGGCAGGGTATCTTGCAGGAGCATCCTGTTAGCAACTTCTTCCCGTTACTATGATGCTGTGATGATCAGTTTGATCAGTCTTGCTGTGGTGGGCTCGGGGTCTCTAACCAAAAAGTACAGCAATAATAGTAAGTATAACATAAACTGCTGTGATGCAATTTTCAACAGTTAACCTAATTGCTACCTCATTCTTTGTCAGAAGGAACAGTTTTCTGAGGAAACATAATCCCACCTACTTTTGTGCGTGCAGCCATTGGTCTTTCTGTTGAAATGACCAGCTAGTGATGATTGTGGAAGCAGTGCCAAGGCGCATGCAAAACAAGGAGCTGATCTGAGACAGCCAGTGTGGCTTCATCAAGGGCAAATCATGCCTGACCAATCTGGTGGCCTTGTATGTGACTGCATCAGTTGACAAGGGAAGACCAATGGATGTCATCTACCTGGACTTCTGCAAGGCCTTTGACATGGTTCCACATGACATCCTGATATCCAAATTGGAGAGAGATGAATTTGAAGGGTGGACCATTCAGTGGATAAGGAGTTGGCTTGATGGTCACACCCAGAAAGTTGTAGGCAATGGCTCTATGTCTGGGCGGAGGCTGGTGGTGAGTGGTGTCCCTCAGGGGTCTGTCTTAGAACCTGTACTGTTTAGTATCTTTATCAGTGGCATAGACAATGGGATTGAGTGCACCTCCAGCAAGTTTGCAGATGACACCAAGCTGAGTGGTGCAGTCGATACATCAGAAGGAAGGGATGCCACCCAAAGGGACCTGTGTAAGCTCAAGAAGTGGGACCATGTGAAACTAATGAGGTTCAAGAAGTCCAAGAGTGCAAAGTGCTGCACCTGGGTCAAGGCAATCCCAGACAGGAGAACAGACTGGGAGAAGAACTGAGAGCAGCCCAGCAGAGAAAGACTTGGGGGTTCTGGTGTACAAAAAACTCAACATGAGCCAGCAGTGTGTGCTTGCAGTTCAGAAGGCCAACCGTGTCCTGGGCTGCATCAACAGAGGTGTGACCAGCAGGTGAGGGAGGTGATTGTCCCCTTCTGCTCTGCCCTTGTGAGGCCCACTTGGAGTGCTGTGTCCAGGTCTGCAGCCCCAGGCACAAGAAGGATGTGGGAATGGTTTTAAACTAAAAGTGGGGAGATTTAGATGAGATGTTAGGAGGAAATTCTTCACTCGGAGGGTGGTGAGGCACTGGCACAGGCTGCCCAGAGAAGCTGTGGATGCCCCATCCCTGGAGGTGTTCGAGGTCAGGTTGTATGGGGCCCTGGGCAACCTGATCTAGTGGTGACATCTCAGGGGCATTGGAACTAGATGGTCTTTAAGGTCTCTTCCAACCCAAGCTGTTCTATGGTCATTGGAGTTTGGAGAGAGAACCACAGGGACTCAGGAAGCTAAGACAATATGTGTGTGCTGTAATGCTCATCTGTGGATGTGTGGAGCTGCTTGTTTTCTATCAGAATTTGTTTGCTCTTTCAAGAGCTGGTGGTGCCAAAGTACAAGGAATTGGTTTCTCTCATCCTTTAGAGGAAAAAGAGTTTTTGTCTTCATCTATTTTCTAGTCTTTTTATCCTGTTCAAAGCATCATGACCTGTGACACGATGCCATTGCTCAGGGCTTTTCTGGAGCACAGCTTTGCTAATCCAACTCATTAGAAAAGCTGCATGCACTGTCTGGATGGCCTTGCTTTATGCTTCATGCCCTTCAGTGCTACCCACCTCCAATGTTTACCTATTTCTTAGAGCTGATTTCTGTTCCTAGCTCAGCTAGTGGCTGTAGGGACATATGCAGCTCACCTCTATGCATCCAAAGCCAAGTAAATAAGCTGCAGTGTGGGATCTAGGAGGATGTGGAATTCTCTCTTAGCAGTGATTTGGCACCAAGAGGCTCTGCAGCTCCTCTTCTGTCATTGCTGCAGCATATGGCCTGTAGTATAGCCTGGGGCCTCTCCGTCTTTTATGCAGATTCAGAGCAAGGTAACTGTGGAGTGAGGAATATTTCCTGCCCCGCTGTGCGCTTCCCTGAGGAGAGGCGGCCTAGAACAAAGTCCAGCTGTGCAGGAGCTGTGTTGTGCGACATGCCAAAAAGCAGGGCTGCGATGGTTCTGCTACGTACAAGGAGGGTCAGAGGCATGGGAAAAAGGAAAGCACAGAGCTTACTTTAAGTTTAACAAAACACAGTGCTCTTGTGTTTGTTAGACTTCCAGCTTTAAAGGTACCTTAACTACTGTTAGAGAGACTGGCTAATAACACCAGAGAGCTGCAACTGAGGAGTACCAAAAGAGGGATGTCCTTGTGACTTATTCTGAGAAAGACCTCATCACAGAAAATACTGTCTTGTTTACCAGTCTTTTAGCACCCACACTGCTGTCTCCTTTGTCCTTGTAGTCACCTAACCTCTGCCTGAAACTATGGCAATTGCTTGCTTGGGCAATGAACGTGATAGGTTTCAGCCTACTCTGAAGGCTTTGGAAAGAAACCTGAATTTTGTTAGTCTTCTTTTTTTCCTGCTCTTCCTTTTTTTTTTTTTTCCTTCCCCTCTTTGTAGTCTTCACTTATTCCATTTTTCTTCTTCAAATTAGCCAATAAATTAGCCAGGAAATAGATTTTTGTTGTTCTTTGCCTGTCCACTCCCTCCCTTTAAACTAACAGTTGTGATAAATAGCAATTTTTTTCTTCCATTTTTGTGCTGTTGAGTAAATGGGACATTTTTGACAGCCTTTACATTTAACGTACTTTTAGTTGTTTTAACAATACAATCTCTCCTTTCAGGGGGAAAAAAAAAAAAAAAGAAAAGAAAGCAAGAGTATTAAGTGAACCTGGTTATCATTACTGCAGGTCAATCTTCATCTTGTATCTTTGTCTTCTCTTTCTGGATAACCATTACGTCCATCTTACACTCAACATGTCACCAATAGTTTGTGACATTCAGTAATGCTGCTAGAAACAAGAGGCATTTTTGACACTTTCCATGGTGGTCACCAAGTGCTGGCATTTACTTAGTTGTACTATAGGAGTGCTCCATCCAGATGTTGATACAGTATTCCACCAGCCTCATTGCAGGTCACAGTATCAGGTATAGAAATAATGTAGCCTGTAGTATTCAGAAGAATTTTCTGCCTTCACAATGTTTGCATTTATGGCCATTCTCTCTATCCTGGTCTCCTGTTTCTCTGTCTAGCCCTTTCTGCACCCAGACATGGCCATGTCCCCTCTTTTCAGAACTTGAGGCTAAGATGCAGTGGAGACTTGATGGATCCTTGCATTTGATGTGCTAGGTCCCTGATTACTTAGCAGATATGTGATGATTGTTGTTATTCTGTAGAAAAAATTGCTTCCTAGAAATGTGGTGCACCTTCAGGATAATTGGAAGCAATTGAAGCAAGCAGGTGCACAGCCACCAAGTTTTTGTCATTGCAGCCCTGGTGCCATCCCATTGCATTCGGTGGCAATTCATTGTCATACCTGGAAGGAGACAAAGCGAAAGCTTTATTTAATCTGGACTGCAAAACGACAGCAGACACACTGACAGTAATTTCATGTGAGAGCTTCACTTCCATTGTCTGATTAGATGTGAGTGTCCTGTGACTCTGGAAGTATTGTTTATGTTTATATGGGAAAAACAAAACAATGCTGAGCCTCAATGAAATCAGTGGAGTTATGCTAACTTACACCAAGGAAGGATAAAGCCTGATGTTTTAGAAAAGATTTTTCTGGTCTTAGTCATATCTTAACTTATTTGAACTGATGCAGCTTTGAAAGTGTAATTTCTCATGAGACTTCGAAAGCCATTTGTTAGGTTTTTGTACTTTACACTTGGCCTGATAAATAAAAATGGCTCAGTAAATTAAACTTAGACTTTCATTGCCTAGTTCCATATCTACAGCAAAGGGCTCTGTTACAAGCAGTGCAAAGGCAGGCGGCTTCTAGATGCACTTGCTGCCATTACTGCAGAAGTAAATTTTGGTATGAATGGAAATTTACTTTCTTCCATCTGCCTCAGAAGAGGTGATGCCCATTCCAAATCTAAGCCCCTCTTCTCTGCAGTATTCAGTCATGCTTCAGTGGAAGAGGATCAGAAGTGGGCTGAGAGCTAAATGCAATGCAGGCTTGAACAGCAGAGCAGACTGACAAAGAATGGTTCTAGCTAGCATGCTGGCCTTCGTTATCTTAATTTGCAGCTACACAGGGGAGGGTCTGTGAAATGGTGCATAAAATCCACACCGAGTTACAAAGAGGCTCCAAGTGTCCTCTCTTTGAGCAAAGATG